ATAAAGGGGGGCCCAGCAAACAAAGTTTGGGAACCACTGAATTAGATGCTTTAGATAGATGGGAAAACAGTCCACTACGATAATCCAAGCGTGTTCGCTTTTTGAGACAACGGTCCTGAGTTTAGTTATATTTCTTACATGAAAAAAGCAAAAACAAAACAAGAGCAGGTCAGAAGGTTGATGTGAGGATCAAATCTTAAAGACTGATTGAAAATAATCCCAGGGTTCTGCACATTAGCTTTTATGTTCGGTGTACTAGGAAAAAAGCCCAAACGTTGTCTGATTTGGGCAGTAATGCTCTCAGGGACAATAATTAGATACTGTCTTTTCTGAGTTAAGCTGAAAAAAGTTATAGGCTGAGCTTATAGACCAACAGGTATCAGGCCTAACATTGGTCCAAAGGAAATTGCATTATTTGACAGGGTTTTCGTGGAGCGATTGGAACCATTAAATGTCTAACCTTTGAGGTCTGATTGTATATATTTTGTATAGATGGGTACTAGTCCCAGCAGTTTTACCTCCATAACCTGTTTGTGTCCCGTCACTGGTTCATAATCTTTCACAGTGTACTGCATCCCGTCAGTGTGAATCAAGTGTTCTCAGCAGTAGGTGGCACTGCAAGATCATTTTCACACCAGTTGAACAAGTGAAGGGGTAAACAATGAAGAATACAGGCACCTCTCATTTATTGCTCTCATTTTTTATACATTTAGACAAGTTTACTGACTAAACTTGATCTGAGTTTAACTGATCCTCATCATGTCTCATTAACAGAAGAATTTAAACACCATGGCAGTAACAATGGACTGTATCACATTAGATTTACAAGAACCTACTAATGTTCTGGTTCCCTTTCACTTTCTCACTCTAATAGTTTAAAGCAAGTTTAGAGGTTCAACAGTGTCATCAATATGTGTTTATGACAATTAGTTACTGATATCACCCCTTTGCTAAGTCATTGCTGCCCTTACACCTTTGTATATGCATTCATTCCTGTTCTTACATACTCTAGAGTGCTTCCCAACTTTTTTCATCTGACCAACATCTAAAGCCCTCTGGAATCAAAAATCCCTTCATCAACACCCCCTTTCATGTTCAGATGTGTTCATTTGAGCCCATTTTAAAGCGTTTTGCTTTTGCTCTTAATGGTTTTCATTTAGCTTAATCAGTCAGTGTCACTGAACCTTCTCGGTCATTTAGCCGTAACCACTGGCAACCATTTGTCCACTAATGACTTACTACTAGATTTAACAGCTATGCATTCAGTTAAATGTATATAGCACCACATAACAACAAGTCGAGGTGCTTTATGCAATAATAGAGAGAAAACCCCAATAATCAGACAACCCCCTGTGAGCAAGCGCTTGCCAGCTGTGGGAAAGTACTGATATGGCACCATGAGGTCTTTAATGATACGATGGAGCCTGGTTATTCAAGACCTTGTATGTAGGGAGAAGGATTTTCAATTTCATTTTGAATTTAACAGTGAAGAAAAGACAGCATGTGAGAAATATGCTCTCGCTTTCTAGTGCCTGTCAGTAATCTCGCTGCAGCATTTCGGATTAACTGAAAGGTAAACCTGATAAAAGTCCAGTCCAATCTAGAAGTAATAAATGCTTGAACTAGATTTTTTAGCATCACTCTGAGACAGGATGTTTTCTAATTTTAGAGATATTCCACAAATGCAGGAAAGTAGTCCTACATATTTGTTTGATATGTGTACTAAAGGAATTATGCTTGTCAAAAATGACTCCAACGTTCCTCATGTTCGAAGTAATCTCCCTGTGCACCTTTCAACCTCTTAGTGGAAATCTCAATATGCCCCCTGGCACCAACATGAGCTGTCTTGCCCATCCAGGCAGTGGAAAAAGATCATCTCTAACGTCGGATTTGGTGGGCAGCCCACCTCCAAAGTCTTCCACTGCCCACCGTCTCAATACACCGAGGCTGAAGAAACTGACTGCTCTGTCTCCATGAGCACACCAATGAGTCAATATGTTGTTCAGGGCATTTTCTGTGTGTAAGTCTCTCTCCCTCCCTGTTTGGCTAACAAGTCTCTTAAAAATAAGCAATTAAAAAACTCCTGTGTTTTTCGTATCAGAGTTCAGATCATTCTCTTTGACTGTTCACAGCTGGACTTTACAATCTCATCTGAAAACTGTTCGTTTTGATCGCAAAACTGTGTTCTCGTCACCAGAAATGATCCTTCACACAAAATTTGCTGATGTTTCCTCTCTGAACAAGCGTGAAGGGCCGTGGTGAAATCGCAGAGCTAAACACTGTCGGGACAGGGCGCAGAAGTTGACTTCAAATGTGAGATCAGTCAAACACATGAAAATATTTTGACGGCTCCTTTTTTTCTATTTTTTAAAATCATCTGTAAATTTGCTTTTACATGCCTGTTTCTACTTTTTATCCATTATTTTTAATCAAGTTTTAACTTTTCTGCTCAAGCCTGTTCTGGTGCACTTAATTCCTAGATTACATAATAATTTCTGCCTTTTCTGAACACTAATTAACTAAGATAATCTCTCAACCTGCACCCTCTGGAGTATAACCTTTGGGTGGGAATTAACACACTAAAATGCCAAGTACAGTAAGGTTGTTATAATTAACCTAAACTAAAAACTAAAACTAGATGTGAAAAAGCATTTTACCCATGTAAAATATTTATAAAACTACAGTTTGGGGAAAACTAATTATATATTTCCTCTATTTTAAATTTTTTTTTAAATTAGTTTTCAGTTTTAGTATTGCTAATTTGGTCGAATTTATAATCCCAATTTGCCTTATGAAGCTTTGATGGACATGTTTTCAAGTCAAAGTCAAAATGAAATAAATATGAAAACCAACTACAAAATATAAAACACAAACCAATAATAAATTTCACCATAAGCTGCTACAAATGCAAATTGTATGCTTTAATAGATTGGAGATTATAGTAGTTAATCCCATCATTAAAAAACCCCACAAAACTTTTAATTAAGAACATTATTTATTCAACAGTGAAGCTTCAGTAATAAATAAATGCACAGATCATTTATTCCACAATAAAACCAAAGGAAATTTGTTTTGCTTTATATATGAGGATTGATATTGCCATTAAGAGTGAACAGCATTGACCAGAGACAATCAAGACGAGACACTTAACACAGAGAGGCGTACAGACAGACAGATGTGTATGGATTACACAGATGTGTACAAAGTATTGCATTTTTCACTGATTGGCTGTTTTCTTTCTCTCTCTCTTTCTCTCTCTTCACAGTCTAGTCAGTTGAGCATCGCCATGACGTGCAAATCAGTCAAAGATTACAAATACAGTATTGCATCATTTCAAAGTGCTACAGAGATAAGTGTCTCCTTTGAAACAGACCCAATTTTCTTTATTTTTTTGGTTTCTTCTGGTGAATGTAGTTGGATTTGGATTTTTTTTTGCCTTTGCTTGTCTGGCACAGTGTAGAGCTCAGCCTGGTCAGAAGCAAACATAATATAAAATATTATCTCAAATTGTGATATAATAAAGCTCTAAAATTAAAAAAAGAGGTAAATTTTATGTTTATTATAAAATATATAAATAAATCAAACGAATAAGTAATTTTTTAAAAACCTGGATTCTACTTTTTATGATCTTCAATGGTGAGTGGAAAAAGCACCCATGGTTTAATGTCCTACCTTTAACATTTCTCCCATTGTCATCATTGTGTTGTCCATTCAAGCATGTTTGCGTGTTTTTGTGGATTGGGAAATCTTTTGCACATATAAATCTACTTGTGTGTTTTTGTGTGTGTGCTTGTGTGAGTCTGGCAAATGATGAACGGAGACAGTTTTGCTTTTTCGATGCTGCGGCGTAAGAGTGAACAGAAAACAATGCTCCACTGGCAAATCCATAGGATACCCTTGTGAACAAGGCACAAACATCTCAAAGGACCATTTGGTGATGATGCACATTTTAGCGTGTTATATAAACAAACGACAGCTTCCCAAAATACCTCATATGAGGCGGTGTTTGCTTTATTTCAGTACTCTATAAAAAAAAATACTGAGAAGGTTCGAAGCCAGTGTCTTATGTAAGTTTTGGAACATTATCAGTAGTAAAAAATTCATGACAAATGATGGTTTAAAAAAAGTACAAAACCACCACGATGGCCCTTTAAATGTCTGTCGTCCAAAACTACTATGCTCTAAAATCTGCACTCTGATCTAAAAGGAGACTCCAGGAAATTTGGAAGATGTTGCCACAAAATGTCCCAAAAAGCGTGTATGTATGAGACCAGTAGAGGGGTTTCCCCAGTCTATTGACACAGACCCTGGCCTATTCATTTATTTGGCATCTTATTACATTTATTTAGCCTCTCCAGTGTTAAGATAAAGGGCGGATGAGGGGGGTGGGGGCAGATGGGAGAGGGCGAGATGAGAGAGGAGAAGGATGGAAGGATTGGGCAATATAAAAGGATGAAAAGGAAAGGAGAGGAAGGTGTGGGGAGGGGGAGAGACAGGGAGAGGAAGAGGACGTATGAAAGACAGGAAGCTCCGGTCGGAACGCCGGCAGAGCACCTGTCACTGAAGAGGCTCCTGCTTTCTATCACCGTCTCCTCCCCTCGTTTTTTTCATCTATCTCTTTTGTCTGGCAGAAGGAGGGACACCCAAAGGGGGAAAGAGCGGGTGCTTAAAATTCTTCCTTCCTTCCTGTGTCCATCTCCTCTCCTAAAGACCTGTCGTCTCCATAGCAACAGACCCTGTCTTCATACTGAGCTTATTCAGTTGGCAGTCATGAATGTGTGTGTGTGTGGGAGAGACGTAGAGAGAGGGGCAGAAAAAGAGAGAGAAAGACAGTTTTGCTGCTGTTCATGCCTCTCTGTGTCAGGGTTGTGTGTCAGTGTGCCTCTGTCGGCGTGATTGTTTTGCTTTTTTTCTTTTCCAAGGAAGAGTTTGTATCTTTAGTAAACATCAGTCCAACACTCCATCTGAACTCAAAAGCCAGTTCATTTTTGGTTGATTTAAATAAATGTCAATGACATGAAAGGAGCATTGGCTGGTTTTTAAACTGTAAAAACTGTTTCAGTCTTTGAGTTCTGAATCAGGCACCATGACGCTTCTCACCTCCGTGCTCTGAAGCATACTACCAACGGCAGCCCCAGTCTGTGCTCGCTTTGTATTGAGGGAAGGCTTGGATTGTCTGTCTATCAGCAGCCGGGGGAGGTCGTGATGGGGCTGTGGTGCAGGTAAGCGGGGTTCACAACAGAAACTGGGAAGTTGAAAATGAACGGCGAGGTGGGCGTGGCTGCCGTTGAGGTGGTGGTTGTCGTGGTCTTGGGTCCGAGCAGCGGGCTTGCCGTGGCGGCGGCTTCGGCGGCGCACGAGGTGGCGAGGAGCTGCGACTCGAACTGCAGCAGTTGGCCCATGAAGCTGAAGTTGGGGGAGATGATGCTGCGGCGCCGCCGTACGAACTCGAACGCTTCGTCCAAACGTACCCGCTTTCGCTTCATCAGGTAGGCCAGGCAGATGGTGGCAGAGCGGGAGATGCCTGCTTGACAGTGCACCAGCACTCGCCCACTGGAGTCCCGTACTGAATCTGAGAAGACAGAGGAGAGCGGGTCGGCAAGGTCAGTAAAAAATAAAAGATTATTTTTTAAGTGAATACATAAAAGACTGAAATCTCTTGACAACTGTGAGAGGGATTGCCATGGAATCTGTGAAGATGTCCATAGTTTTCATAGAATGACTGTTATGGACCCAGTTAAATGTCTCAACAAGTACTGAATGAATTGGAAATATCCAGCAAACAGTTCAATGTTGACTAATCACTGGCCGGTGGACTTTTATCAACATCTACTCATGGTTGAAAAATAGTTGCAAATGGCAAGGACAATTCCCTGGATATTCTTGTAAGCTTTCTACTAAGATAAAGTATGTGTTCAACAATTATTTTTTTACTGTCTTGAGGCTTTCTGGTCCAACTTTATTTTCTAGTGAGCTAGCCATGGCCCTGGGTTTGTGATGCTGACAAAGAGGCAACGTTTATATTAGTCTGACACTTTAACTATGCTCAAATAAGACAGAAATTAGACAGAAACATAAATGGCTTAAAAATTGTATTTTTTGTACAAAAAAAAAATATGCGGCTGTCTATTCAATATCATGTTCTAACCAGATTAGTCATTGTTTTAAAAAAGCAGATTTAATTTCTTCATTGTCACAATATGATTAATATGTCTCACTTTGTAAAGAAATATTGCTTAGACCTCTATTCTACATGGAGATAATGTCAACATCTGTTCCTCTAGTTTTCACAGTCTTACCATTGTCAGTTTTGATGCCAGAGTTTCAGGCATGTTTGCTGGGTAAGTTTATACAGGCCTAAATAATTAACAAGCATGTACCCTAAGATGAAGCATCAGTCTCTGAACCCTTTTTTAGTGTAAGCATGAGGTCATGTTTGATTTGTTTTTATTGAATTGGTATTTAGGAAAACTAACTAAATGTTAACAATGTTTTCAATATTTTGTAATCTGCACATGCTAGCATGCTATCACCAAGCTAGCTTAGTAGCACACTTTTTATTTTGTTTTGTTTTATTTTGTTTTGGGGGTTTGCTATAAATTCAAATACCTAGATTGTTCTGTTTTTATTTTTCTCTGAGCACTAAGCTTGTGTAATTTGTTGCAGTTAATTTAAGTTTGAGCTTTATATTTAGTTTACTGGCCCCAATTAGCATTCAAGAGTCAAATAATGTAGTTTTAAATAAGCTACATTTAGATTTTATAACATATTAACATTATGCCATGTTTGATGTAACATAATACTTACATTGTCACTAATGTAACCATGATTTTCTATAGTAATTTTGTATTTATCTGGAAAAGTTAGTTACCAAGTTATGACCAAATACAGCACTGTCTTTATGTGTAGCTAAACTTGCTTGTTTCTGTTGTAATGACACTTTTATAATTTTAAGTTGTAAGTGCTTGTGGAATCTGTAGCACTTTATTTAAGAGTGAGCTTTACATCCTATTATTTAGGTGACTGGTTAGCAATGAGCTAATGTAAATCTAATTTTACATTAAAAATAAATGAAATGTCACTAGTTCCTTCTGAATAGAATTAGCACTTTCAACATAAAGTTTATCAGCAACAATTTGATATTTTAATAATTTTTTAAAGAAAAATTGCAAAAATCAAAAGATCTCCAATTCTCAAATACACATTTTTTTCTCTCTCATTACTGTAAAAACAATATATTTTGGTTTTAAACAAGACAGAAGAGGAAATTATGACATGTTGTGCTTTTTTGTAAGCTGAATTATTATCAACTGATTAGAAAAAAATTTTATTCATGATTTATAATGAAGAAAATGAAATAACTATCAGTCACCAATCATCACTTGGTACATACACTGTGAACAAAGTGTCACATGAATCTACATTTTGTTTATAGCCACCAAGTATTTTTAAACACAGCAGATGTACAGTGAGGCTTTGCCTGTTTTCATTTCCTGTCCTCCACACTTTAACGCCTTCTCCTCGCTGCACAGTCAAACCGATAACTAACCTCAAAGTGAGAAAGCAGCGAATCACATTTTACTGACACGCACAAGTGCAAAATTTGAGTCATCAGCCTTTCTTTCACACTTCCTCCCCCAACCTATTTCTGCTTCTACTTCTTGAAGTATGTTTAGATGCATGCCATTACTCCATTAAGGAGGATAACCAGATTTAGGTAACAATTTAAGCCAAGCATTTACAGTTTCTCCTCTCCGCTAAAGCCTCAGTTAGTGTGAATAGTGGGACATCGTGTTAATTCTTGTATAATGTGTATGGCTACCTCCAGGAAGTCAGATGCACAGTATGAGAAGAAAACAGAGTGAATTGATGTAATGTGTTGTTTCTTATGTTTAATCTAATCTAATATCCTGAGTTCTCACTCCACAACCTCTTGGGCACATGAGCAGAATTACACAACATCAGATGTTTACTGGCCTTTCTTTAAATGCATAGATTGCCTGATTGCTAACAACCAGCTTCCTGATCTCTCACATCAAATATCTGTAATTTTTCTCCCTCAGTTATTCACACACAGACAGACTTCAGGTAACTCCACCACAGTGCCTGTTCACTCAGTAACACTGGATGAGTCAGACTCGACTCTGGTCCCACAGCATCTAACTATGACGCATACCAGCACCTACACAAACACACGCTCACAACACAGAAATCACACACACCGTGCCTTATGCACAGCATGGATATGCCAAGGAAAAGCAAAGCTTAGACTCGCCTATAACACACACACACACACACACACATACAAAATAAGATTATGGCGCAGAGAAATTACTGATGGTAATATTTCATCATTCCAAATAATCTGTCTTATCTCTCAGTGCTTCTGCAGTGTCTGCTGAGATGTATACGATTAACCTGGAAATAACAATTGGTGACAGAGTCCCATGAATAAATGTCTGAATTGTCATCATCATCATCATCATCATCATCATCATCATCGCTGGAGCTTAAAAGCTTTTCCATGACAGGTCTCTGAACAAATAAAAGCTCCTTTATGGGAAAAAATTCTCAAACTCTAGACAAGAAGTGATGTTTTAGATAAAGAGGAAAGGAGAACTGCATCAGCATGAACAGTGAAAAGCCACCATTTTCCGGATACTCGAAACTACTGAATCCACAAAGAAAGAAGGAACATCGCAGTCCAACCCACGCTGCTCGATGGAGGAGGCATAGTGGTTAAAAATGCCAGCTCAGTCTACTTAAAGTAGACATGTAATATGTTGACCTGCAACTATTCTGATGTTCTATTAGTCTTTTCCTATAGCTTTAGACACATTATCAGAAAAATAATAAGTGCATTAATCAATAATGAGAACAAATCTTTAACCTGTATCAGCAAACACTGCAAAAACTCAAAATATTCACCCAAAATAAACAAAACTCTTCTCATGCATACGACACACTTACACACTGACCTATGAACTCGATAGCCTCCAGGAACCAGGAGCTGATTTCTTCCTTGTGGTTGTCCTCCACAGGGATACATTTGTACTGGTAAGCCCCCTCGAAGTGGTTGGGACAGTCAGCTGACACGTTCAGCAAGGCAGAGATCCCTATACTATCCAAAACCTCCTTCTTCGAGGCGTGAAGGGCGCTGCCAAGGTAAAGGAAGGGGAGGATCTCAACCGGGCCACCCTGGGAAAAAAGGACAATGGCAAGTTGATCATTTATTATCCATCCATCCATGCGTTTTCTTCCGCTTATTCAATTCAGGGTCGCAGGAGGGTGCTGGAGCCTATCCCAGCTGTTCTAGGGCGAGAAGTGGGGTACACCCTGGATAGGGCCATCATTTATTATTATATTTTAATAATCAGCAGTAAAGGCAAAGATTTACTGTTATGAGGCAGCTTGTAGGAACATTTCCTGACCCGAGCAGCATGTGGAGCTACACTGGAGAATTGTCCTTAGGTGAAAGCCAGTGTGCATGGCAAGACAAAGAATTCATTGTCTCGGTAAGTCGCAGAGGCCAGATACCAGATGACTTCAGTATAAGCGTGACCGCCCTTAAATATTTTGTTAATCACATTAGCCATGCTTCTCAGCTTAATATCTGTGTGAATAATGCGAAACTCATTTGATATGGGCCATTTAGTTTGTCACTTTCTCTCTTCAGCTGATTTATATTTTCACATCTGGAGACAGAGTTTACTGTTGGAGCTGAGCGTCTCATCGACTGGCTTATAATTATGAGCACAAAACCACCGTATTCAGCGTGAATATCTGTGCGTCTTTATTGTATCAGCATATGGAAAACCTTCTTTCAGAAGCTCTACTGGGGAAAAACATGCTCCGCGACAGCATTTTCACAGAATGTGATTCTGTGAGCACAAACGCGTGAAAACATGTGAAACAGACAATTAAGCACACGAAAAAAACGTTCAAGGAAAACAGGCAATTTCGCTGTGATTGACACTGCACTGGTGCAAGTTACATGCACGCATATCGCACATTTAATAACACGTATATTCCCAGTTTAGAGCCAGATTATGTCACTGCTCAGCCACATCTCAGAGGACATGTAAGAGCTGACGTGCCGTTTCCCCTTTTACTGGATCTGAAAGGTCAGCTGATCAGCAGTCTATACCGGCGCTTATTGACAAGAGCTGCGGCTGTTTGTGCCAGTGCTGCTGACGAACTCGGTAGTGACACAGCGTCAGGAAATGATCAATACTGCTAAGAGGTGTAATGTGAGGAGGGGGATGTTTGTGGTGGTGGCGAGCAGCCCGCTAAATCTATACTGCTGCTGCTGCTCGTGCAGGAAGTGGAAGCATTTCTTGAATTAAATATGCATCTGATGGTTGAGCAGAGACAATCAGACGTTTTTCTTATAAAACACACAGAGGCTGGCTTGTCTGTGCCGCTCCCCTCGTGGGTTCCAGGGGAATTAAACCCTGACCACATGTGACTGTGAGCATTGCGTAAACTCTGCAGACTCGAACAACAGCTTACTAACCAGCAAAACAAGGCCAACCAGGTCACAGGAAGTGCTACAGAGGTGAATCAATGCCCATCTATGACATCCAGGCCAGCGTGTTATTATGCACCAAAAGACTTATAAATTGAATATCTTCTTGTTATTTAAATGTGTTCATAATTATTATTTTCTCTTGTGTTGTTTTCTGGCAGTCAGAATGGCAGCTGACTTGCCCCTGAGCAAAGCAAATAACTGTCAGGGTGTTCTGTGTCAGTGTGATACATAAAAAAAGGACGTTTTCTTTTGCATGTTTTTATAAACTGAATGCTGAAACACATTAACATGCACACTACTTGCAGCACAGAGAGGACTTCCATCAGTCTGACACTGGCGGATGTTAATCATGTTATTACAGGCAGATGTTATTTTAAAGGTGAGGTGCGTTTAACGCTTTTTCTGTGTCACGTTGCATTTTACCTGGTCATTGTGCGGCGTTCCACACGACGAGCAGGCAGAGTCGATGCTCGACTGGCTGGTGAGGGACGGTAAGGACTTGGCCTTTAAACAAAACTCTGGATACTCTGTGAAAAATTTGTCATATCCCCCTATAACACACAAAAACAACAAAATACATGTCACAATCACATATGCAGTGCTTTGCTGTAGGACATTAATAAGTGGTGCAAAATAGCACGCAAAACATGCAAGAATGAGTACCACGGGAAAATATTACAGAAATACCAGCTTCCTTTTTTAGGGGTGGGGGGTTGTTTACTTCTCAAAATACACCACAGATGCACATATGAGGACAAAAGAAGCCTGCATTCACATCGCAGCACAATCTACAACAGGATTTCTAGTCTGCATTCAGGTAGCTTGACGCAAAGTCTATTAAACCCCTGACGGGCTGTCCTGTGTCTGCTTGCTGTGGATTTGAAAACAGTTTCATCAGTTTTGTTTTTTTCATATATCTGTAGGCAGTATGTTGCTCTCTGAACCTCAAGGATCAAATCAGATCAACTGAAATGTGTCAGATTTACAATCTGCAAGCATACATTTATGTTCTTCGAGGCATCAGCATCAAGAGGATGCACAAAAAAAGAAAGAGTGAAAAAAAGAATACGCCACAGCTTGCAACAGCCTCGAGATTTTTCAGCAGTCTATATATAGGGTGTGTAAATCAACTGCTGATTTTAATATTTCGCTGCTTCCTGTGGGTGATTTACCCGAAGCGGACTCTGTGTAAAAAGATTATGTGTGTGTCCTGTAAGTCCCTCCGGTTTGATGTGGCTTCTACGCATCAGCATTACCTCATTCACTCAGCTCACAGCCATTGGTCTGTGTGTGAATGTGTGTAGATGTGAATGAGTGAGTGAGAGTGTGTGTTGTTTAAAAAAAAAAATACACCAGTGCATTTGAAGGGAGAACACACTGAGCAGGATATTTCTAGTTTATTGAATAACATATAGTTACACACATAAAATTTTTAAATATCCAATATCTCTAAGAACTGGTGAAAAATAAAATATCTGGTGGCCTAGAGAGGACTGTAGGTTAGCCACTGGAAAATAGCAATTCATTAAAATGTGGTCATTATTATTATTAATGGATGTCAGTACATATATTCCAATTCTTATCTTATTTTACTGTTTTTTAAAAATCAATTGTTAAAAAAATATAATTTATTACTAAGCATAATGCCTACTGCTTACACATGTATCAGTTATTATAATTATACCCAGCCATTCATCAGTTACATTACATTTACTGCTCTAATTGAAATAATTAATGTCAGTCATTAAACTTTTTGATGTAACTGGCGCTGCTACACATCACAGGCTAGGATTAAAGAGTAAACGACATAATTTACCTTTGAGCAGGTATATGCGCGTGCCGGAGGCGTCCCTGCACAGCGCGTGGAGCACCAGCGTCAAGGTGCTGTCCTCCTTCACCGTTTCCGAGTCCGGCGTCCTCTCGTCGTACAGCACTGCGGCGGAGTACATCCCGGAACGCAGGCGGACTCGGACCTCCTCGTCCCCGGCCAGGATCTGGTCCAGGCTCAGCACGGAGCCCTTCGCCCTGCGGCGGACGATGGTGTTGCAGCGGGCGTTGACGGCGCCCCGTATGTGCCCCGCGCTGAAGGCGAGGAAAGAGCGGCAGTCCAGCAGCAGGCACTTGGCACTGTCCTCCTTCAGGAGCCGCTTCAGCACCGTGCAGTCCATCTCGTATAGCTCCTCCATTGGCACGTCGTTTCGGGCTGTTAGGCTGTGCTTCACGGTCGTTAAATCTCCTCTCTCGCTCTTTCTAAGCCCCCTCACGATCACCGGACCCCTCGGAACCCGGAGAAGGCGCACGGATCCTGCGGTGGATTCCCCTTGCGCTTCTCCTCTATCTGCGCATCAACACCGTGATGATCATCATCATCATCGTTGTAACCGCACTACTTCTTAAGCTCAGTCCGGTCACTTCTGTCTCTTTCTCCTCTCTGCCTCTCCGAGTATTTTCTCCACAGGACTCTTTCTCTTTTTTCCTGTTTTTATGAATGGGTGCATCGCGTCACGGCGGAGGTGACGTCAACCAACCAGCAGCCTATCGCAACGCGTCCAGTTTCCCGTGCCCTTTCCTCCTCTACCGTTCATTCATAAAAAACACACACACACACACACACACACACATCAATGAAACGAGAGGCCATGGGACCGAAGATTAAGCGCAGGAGAGTTTGGCTTCATACCATAACAAGCTCTTCTTCATAACTTAAGGATCATTTTTTAGATAAAAAATAAATAAATAGGAAATTAAAGATATTTTAAAAGTAAAAAAGTAAGCAAAGCAGTGCAAATAAATGTAAGTGTTATAGAAGTAAATTTGAACTATATATATATATTTTTATATCTTACTGATATTTTACAGTTTAAACTTACAAATGATTTTTTTTTTCATAATCAAATGAACCAAATAAGACTCATAATTTGTAAAGGATATCATTTGTCATCACAAATGTAGGCTACTATAAACTGTATTATATTCAGTCTACAAGTTTAAGGTCATAAAATAAATTAATCTAAATTTCAGGTTTTCGCATGTGTTGGAATTCAACTGACTGCATATGTAGCTCAGCTTAGCTCAGTTTCATATCATTCAAGGCTCAGTGTTAGAAATGCTGCTGGTGGACTGCAGGTGGGTGTGCGCTTACGTACAAGGGTCCGTGTGTGCGTGTGCATACGTCTGGGTGTGCATCTGTGTGTGTGGGTGTGTGTAATCCTACAAGCGGATGCAATTTGCATCTTCTATCGCGCAGCCTTGGCGAGCGTGCTCAGGTATTTGCATGTTGATCTCATTTCCATGGTTACGAGAGGAAAGAGAGCAGCACGGCGGCGGATGACAGGAGGAAAATGCAGACACCCTGACACAAACAGGTGGAGAGAAGACATCTGAAAGAGACAAACAAACAGACAGCAGGGAAAAATGTTTAACACTTTTATGGGTGGGCTGCTGTGGGAGAAAATAATATGTTTGAGTTCCCGTGAGTGTTTGGATCTATGTTGTGGAGGCTGTCTCTTTCATTTTCATGACTTCATGTGTTCACTATAAGTAAAATCTGATGGTAAAGTTGAACAAACCCTTGAAATATCCTTACTGCTATACTGCTTGTTAAAAAAATGAGGCTGTCTCGGTGCAGTACCATAGCAATTTGGTACTATGGCAACTTCCTCAAGAGACAGAAAGGTATAGGCAGTGATGGAGCAAAGGCTGACTTTTATCCATAAACTGATGCCCACATTTCCCACAATGCAGCTGAACACGACTCCCTTTTTTAGTACAACAGGAAGAATAGTAATGCCCGGGATCACAAAAATGATCTGTAATTGCCTCACTGGGTGATGTTGGAAAATCCCAAAACTGTGCCTTTAAAGATGGATGACAGGAAGCAAATAATTAAGACAAATGGACTTCAGGCCTCACTCATTATTTCTGTAGTGATTATATGATAGAATAAGGTCATTCTCACTCCTGGTATTTGCTGTAGTTGCTCTTTAGTATTCACCTGACAAGGGATATATCCTTGGTTTGATTCCAGGAGAAGACAGAAATCCCTTTGGGGTTGCACGAGGAAGGCCATCTGATGTAAAATTGTGACAAACGTCATTGTTTGCCAATTTTCTACCAAGGTTTTTCCTCTTTATTTGTCACCTTATCAGACTTGATACTTTACATCTGATTTGCCCATTTTATATATAAAAAGAAACCGAGAGTTGGAACACCATGTTTAGCGTATGTGTATGGACTGCAATGGGCAAACAGCAGGAAAAAAATGAATGAAAGGACTGTGACTGTGAGCCGGAGAGTTGACAGAAGGTGAGATGGAAGCCGACACAAAGAAAGGCAGGGTGGGAAGGAAAACGGAGAAGGTGAGGAAGAGGAGGAGGAGGGCGGGAGGTAGAAGAACAAAAGAAGAGGTGTCTACTTGTGCTGGACTGCAGCCTCTGCATCCCATATAAACACAGACACACACGCACAACACCGCACATTACTATCAAGCCTAAACAATGCCTCCAACAGACGGGATGGTGCTGCTGCCGTAGCAACAAGGGAGAGGTGTGGGAAGGCGGAGACAGAAGCCAGGGGGGCTGCGAGGGGATTGGCCGGAAATCAGTTCTGTGCTGATGTCATCCTCCCCTCCCTCCCTTTGCGCTCTCATGTCCACCCATTCATCCCCTCACATCACATCCCTCGCTGGCATGCCGTCATCTGTCAATACAGCAGACGGGAGAGAGACAGAAACACAAAGAGGGAGGATATCTCCCGCTTCTGTTTACTCCGTTTCCATCTCACACATCTGACTCTGCCCATTCCCTGTTGTCCTCCTGAGCTTATTCACAAGCTCTCCTTGTGAATAAGCTCAGGAGGACAACAGGACTGTGAATGCAGCAGAGGCAACCAAAGGGTTATTTATTTACCCTTGTTTTTAATTGTGCACTAATGAAAGTAACAACAATGCAATAATAATAAATGTCAGTGTAAATTATATATTCACATACACAGCACAAGTATACTGTTGACTGATAGCAAGATTACAACAGCATATAAGAACAAGGCACAAAAAAGGTCGCCTCTCACAGGCCCAGCTCCTTATGCCTGGATATCAAAGTGCCTTTGAGCAAAACACTGATTCCTTCTTTAGTGACAGTTTAGGTTCTGGAAAATTACTCATGGTCTTTCCTTGTCAATTCTGTGTGATATAATAAACTGGAATGTAGAGACCAGAAAATGAAGGAACACAGAAAAGAGTTTACATAAGAATGAAATAACTGAGTGTTTCAGAACAAACAAGTGGATAATGGCAATAAGACCTGTGACATTAGAGGAAAAAAGAGTAGGAAAATTGTGGAATCTAAGATTTACAGAGTCTGTCTATGTGTGCAGCAAGCATTTTGTCACTGAGGAGTCAAATATCCAAATGTCAAAGGCCACTATGTATCTGTAAAATACACAAAAGCATTTGTGTTATAGTGCAGATCATTCAGAAAGTTGTGAGCAATTCTAGTCTCGTAGCAAAACGTTTTGGTGTTTAATAATCATCACCGAAATTCAAAATGATGCTTAAAGTTCACGGTTGGTTCAAGTTTTCATTTTAAGCTACCATGTACATCCTGAGACCAAAAGTTCTTTGGTTTGGTTGTGGAGACTTGCACAGACAGACATGCAGCTAAGTGATGAAACCAACATATCTACCGGTACATGTCATAGTAATCAGGGTAACTGATGAAACTCCACACTACAGGTGAAATGTTATCATATCGAGCGACCATACACAGGTGTAGAATGTAAATATCTTGGAAATCAGTTATTGTAATTGACACATATTTGAAATCCAGAAGAACTAGCACATTTTTAGCAAATTTGTGAGCAGTGTAATTAATTGCATGAATGGACAAAAAAAAAAAACGCTCTGTCTGGAAACAAAAACGACACAAAGCTTTCCAAATATCGGTGAACCTAGCATGCTAACCACTTTTATACACAATCTATGACGCTAACACAAAGCTAGCAGACAAAGAACTCTGGACCTAACATGACGGGTGCGCAACCAAGCAGCTAGAACTCAATTTACAACAACAGCAGAAATGAAAAAGGCTTGTGGGATTGTACATGTCCGCCTGTAGTCTTTCCTACACTAGAATCACTATCACCAAATTTGTTGTGACTTGCACCATGGCTTGTTTTTCTCTGACTTTGTGCCCAAACGATATTGTGCGACGTATCGAGTGATTTAAAAGTGTCGCTATTTTGAGATTACATTTTTTTATTGCATGTACATGCATGCTGAGTAGTCAGCCATCGATGAGAGTGTGCTGAATTTCCCCATATATAGAATACAAAGTCCAAGATATGAGATAACTTAAACACCAGCATAATATAATAAAACAACACACACACACACACACACACACACACACACACACACACACACACACACACACACACACACACACACACGTATAGCCAAATCCATGCCTCCCTTTAATCCCATAATCCAGTGGTTAAGCCTTGACTGAGTGCTGCTACGCTCTCATGAATGAGTTCGTGTTTTGTCATGTGTGACTTTGACAGAGGCAGAGAGGCAGATGTGTGTGCTTTTTTGAGAGTGAAAGTAACATGTAAGAAAAAAAATGTCCAAAAAAAAAGCACGAGGAAGCAATAAAGAAAGCAAAAGAATAAAGTAAAGAGAAAGGGTGAGGGAGAGAGGTGGCATGATTTAAGCAGCGGAAGTGGGCAAGCGATGAGGTGGGGGTTGTTCCTGTTTGCAGCTGATCTATTTTTTCTCTCAGAGACAGGTTGATGCTTATGCAGTGGAGATATCGCTTTTTTTTAGCTACTAAGAAATTTAACCTTGCCAGAGGAATGCTTAAAAATGCTGATTTTTAAATCAGTCATAAAGTAGTGCCCCACCAAATAATGGCAGCAGTTTCAGAGGCCTAAAGGGGTAAATTATTTACTCCTCACAAGAGCAAATGGAAACCGTCTTGCTACGTAGGAGAATATTTCTTCTCTTTTGTAACCAGCAGTACCAACTCTGGCCTGAGTTTGTGATCAGCAATGATTGAAGTGAGGAATTATCTCCAAATCTACATTTTAGTATTTAGAAAAGCTAAAAATGCAGTCTTGATTTTAAGGAACTGTTCTAATAAACTCATATTTAATAGGTTTGAACTATTTTAAGAAAAAGTCTCAAAAAAATCAAGATGGGGCAACAAAAAGTTGGAAAAGTAAGCGGTACTAAAACGAAACAGCAGGTGGAACTGGCAAAAGGTAAGTAAAATGATTGGGTATAACAATTTCACAATAATGTTTCACAATTAATAGATGCAGTTGGTTTTTTTTAAGCTTATTTAATTGCAAAGACTTTGAATATCTCATCCTCTACAGCACAAGGTTCAGAAAGTCTGGAGAAATCTTTGTGCGCAAGACAAAAAGCCAAAAATCAATACTGGACAATGGATCTCCCCGGGCCCTCAGGTGGCACTGCATTAAAACAGGCATGATTCTGTCATTGAACTCACTGCATAGACTCAGGAACACGTTCAGAAATCATTTTTTGTGATGCCGTGCCATCCACAACTGCAGGTTACAGCTCTATCATGCACAGAAGAAGGCATATGTGAACATGATCCAGAAACATCATCATCTTCTCGGGCTCATCAAAGCTCATTCAACATGAAATGAGGCAAAGTGGGAAACTGACCTATGGTCAGATGAACCAACATGGATGCCACTTTCCCCACAATGAAGAAGAGAGGGACCATCCAGCTCGTTCACAGTTTTCAGTTCAAAACACTGCATGGTATGGAGGTGCG